CTAGCAGAACGCCTGGTCAAGCCGTATTTATAGACAGTGACAACATAGTTTCAAAAAAAAACCACTAGAACAATCGCTTTATTCGCTTTTTCATTCATAATGTGGGATCAATTTTATTTCACCCTTGATGCTTCGCTCATCCCTTGAGATGCACGGGCAGTATAATCCGTCCTCCCCACGCGTTCCTCGACGTCCAGGCTGAAAGAAAAACGTCAGAGTGGCATTTACATGAGGCGTGATAAGTAAACTTACCAATCCTGGCATGCCATGCATTCCAGGGTTGCCATCTCGTCCCGCGAGACCAGGTGGTCCTGGTTCTCCGATTTCTCCAGGCTGACCAGGATAACCTGGTTGTCCAGCAATTCCTGGGGGTCCAGGTGGCCCTGGTGGACCAGGTGGACCAGGAACTCTCGTGTATATTATGCCTGGTCCTCCAGGCACTCCTGGTTGTCCAGGTGGGCCAGGTATTCCTGAATTCATAACATTTAAGGTAAATGAGTTCTTTTAATGTTTGACATTTTGTGGAGTAATTTACCTTGTGCTCCGGGATCGCCAGGAGGACCTTTTGGTCCAGGTAGACCAGGACCGCCAGCTGCTCCTGGTACGCCAGGAAGACCTCGAGCACCAGGTTCACCTAAATCATATTGGTGGTCTTTGTTTTGGGTGGAACTTTGAACACTCAACAAACCATCAGGTCCTTGTGGTCCTGGAACTCCGGGAGGTCCAGCTGGGCAAACAGCACATGCGTCTGAGTAATGTCTAGTCAATGAGGCGTCATCGTCGCCGTCTCGTCCATCGAGTCCAGGTTCTCCGGGAACTGAATTTGGACATTACGTATACTTCTTGATAATAGGTCATACCTGATGATAATCATTCTTTTATCGCCAAGGAACCCACAAATCTGTTATGTTATTATAGACCAAAAATTATTTTTGTCCAAGAGACTTAAGGAAATTCCATTCTTCCCTTGTAAACCAGGGTCCAGGTGAAATGTCGCGAAATCAGAAATATAAGGAATTATTTCTATCGGGGAACTGAACCTTCAAAGACTACTCGGTGTATTTAACTACTAGAACAAAATTTTCTTTCATTTATCAGGATCAGATAGTAATTAGCAAAAACGCAGATCGATCACAAAGTACAACGCTGTCATTTTTTACTGCTATTTCCACCTTTTTTCCTTCTCCCGACGGCGTTTTTTTTCTGAAAGAGCGCGTAGGGAGTTCCGCCTGTGCGACAAAATGTGTTCGGGGAGGGGTAGGAACGCAGAAGAGGTGGTGGAATAGAATTCCTTTTCTCAATGGGAGAAATTCTACTCCACTACCCTTTCTTAGTTTCTCCAACTCCGCAAACTCAGGGCTCAAATCTTGCCCTTTCCACAAACCACCACATCCTGCAGTCGTCAAGCTGATGAAGGCCTTATTGGTTAGTAGCCCGTCCATGAGAATTCCGTATCCGAATTCACGAGCCTCCCAAAAGGAGGCATGCGATCGCTACGTATGCCTATACGATTTCCAGTGAAGGTTAATGTGGGATCGTGAGAATTCTGTGGGAACCCGGCTTTTTAAATTCTGCCATATAAAAGTTAATATTACTGCTGTACATAAAAACCAGTCTGTGGAAATAAGGTAAAGTAAAATAGGAAATTGAAGTACGTACTGCCATTGAGTCCTGCTTGTCCCGGTGGTCCTCGCGGTCCTCTAGGACAGTTGCATACCATGGGACCTGAAAAATTAGTAAAACGGGTATCAAAATTACTGCAATTCTCTACAATGGGCACGGTTTAGAATGTTGCCCAAACGGCTTCAAGCCTTTTCTAAGTAACTCTGATTGTGGTAGGATGTTCACTTACTGAACAAAACACTGACTCTATAGAGCGTTGGGAGAAAACTCGTCCACTTTTGCCTCGACCTCATCAAAATTAGAGATATATGGTCAGATGCTACTCACCTCCCACTGGCGTGTATTGCTGCTGCGCCGGTCGCTCTCATCAAAATTAGAGCCATAAGGTTAGATGCTACTCACCTCCCACTGGCGTGTATTGCTGCTGCGCCGGTCGCTGAGAGTGCTGAAGTCTATAGTAACCAGTCGAAGGTCGAGGGGCCTGTGGTGGCTGTGGGAACTGTTTGTAGTAGTGGTATTGTTGTTGATAATAGCCGTGCAAATGACGTTTCTGCACATTAGATGAATCCGAGTCGACGGAATGTTGAGATTCTTGAAAATTTTGAAATCTAATAGAAAAAATAGTCCAAAAAAAGTTTCTATAAAAACATACCGTCAGCTTCGCGTTTTTCGATTCGTCGACCAAACTTCTCAGCCAGTTTCAGTGCTTCTTTCCATATCACTTCGTGTTCTGACTACAAATCGAGTTTTTTTCATTCCTTTCATATGAATGCATCGCAGAAATAAAGGGAATATTGACGAGGAATAGATGGATCTGGGAATTATACCTCTGTAAGCCAATTAGGCTTTACCGTGTTGCTCCCCATTTGGTTTGAAAATTTTCTCCTGGATAGAAGTCAGTGTAATTAGCCTCTGATCTAGCAGATTAAGATAAGGTGCCCATTTTCGTATAAAAAATGTGTTAGAATAGGAGATTTTTGAGAATGGTATAAAATAGTTGTGCAAAACCGGTTGCACACAGCGGCCTTGTATTGGTTATCGCGCCTGCGCTGTTTGATGTGAGGCGCGTAATAAATTTAAGTGTTCGAAAGTGAGTGTGCACCCGAACATGAACAGAGTCGAGCCTTTTTGTGTTTGACAAAGGAACTCACTCGAAAATTGACAATTTCCACTTCAGCTATATCGTTGAGAGCTGACAGGTCTGCATGAAGTTTTATCACTGAAACTACTCCACCGATCACAATAAGGAGACATCCAATAGCCACGCCCCAGGCTATGCGATCCCCATTTGTCTCCGTCATGAATCTGAAAGATTTCATTTTCTCTTGGGAGTAATTCTTTCACTTTCTGGATACTTGACAAAATTGTATAACCACAAAGAAGGGATTCAGACTAACCACAAGTGGGAGTTCACTTCTAGGGGTTAATCACATTAATGTATGCGAGTTCGAGGTGTTAGAATGCAGTAAGTTAAGTGAAGATGTGTGAAGTGATTTATGAAAGCGAAGTGATGGGCAGTTTCTTCGAAAGGTAACCAGAAAGGTCTTTTTCAGAAATAAGATTGGATTGAAGGCTGAGAGTCAGTTTATGTGATGAGGCATCGTCTTCCAAAGAGAACAGTCACATGGAAGAGAACCGAGAAAGAAATGTTATCGAAAAAGATCATGACGTTGAATCTCTGTCTTCAAATGAGGGGCTTCAGGACCCGTTGACTGCAGCTATCACGATAACACATTGGAAGTGGCCCTTTGCAATATAAACCGTTTTAAAGTAAATAGAACAGCATCTTTATTCCTGATGTGTACGTCTTCCACCGGTTTTAGTGTAAAACGAAGTAAAGGTGCATGGAAAATGATTAATTAGATTTACACTAGGGGCTGAAGGTGGTAAGGTCCATATAAGTAAGGGTAAAAGCCTGATGTATGGCCCTATCAGGCCTGATGGGATGGCCTTCATTCACATTGACCGACCTTGGAAAGTTCATCAAACCATGAGGAGAGATTTTAAGCCGATTAAGTCACGCCCGTACGAGGTGTCAGGGGTTACATAAGGAACTTTGGGCAATCCAGCATCATGTCCTATGTACTATATAGATCTGAAAATGCTCTTTTCTTTTTTGGCTTTTGGAACTCTTCCCCCGCCCCTCATGCGAAACATTTGAGTCGTGCAGGTGGTTTAGTGTTTTAGCTCCGAAGATCAAAAGAGGATAAGAGTAATAGCTAGAGGAGGATAAAAAGCTGATAAGCAAGAACAAATTCCCATTTCTCGTAAAGGTAGTATCGAAATCCCGTTCCTATCCCAGAAGCAAGTATACCGAAAGCATCCCCCGACCTCCTAAAAACGGTGAAGGTGTAGTGTCCTGATGAGGCCATAGGATACCACCGTAAGAAGGAACTCATGCAGCGTGGACGCTGAAGATCAGCAGTAATTGTTGGAAGCTCACGGGAAAGGCCATCGCAACCGTCAGGTTGGGATAGGCCGTGTCCAGGACGACGTACACGCAGTAAACTGACAAAACGAACTGTGACCGTTGCATTGGCGCCCTTAAAATGAAGCCGTTGGAAGCTGAGACGGCCAAAAAAACTCGCTAGGTGAGTTCTTTTAGCTAAGAAAGTGCCAACATGGTTTTCATATGAAAACCGGTGTCACTACACGGTTCGGAAACTCAATGGAAAAAAACTTCTGATTAATTCCTTTGTGTGTAATTTTCGTGTTTTCTTTCCTTCCTGCATCCCAAATCATGTTTCCTCCAAATTCTTTTTCTCACAGACATCTCACACCCATTGCCCAGTGCATAAGAGACTCTTATCCACTGTGTGACTCAAGAATTTTGTTTTTCTGAAGAATTTCCTTCACGTTAGAATGGCAAGTTCAGTACCAATTACCAATTAATTAAGTTTTTTTCCGATTGCGCCGCGCTTTTTGCCTTTCGTTCAGCATTAAACGGCGTTTTGAATCCCCTATATGAATACATAAATACAGTAAGCTGGAATAGACTACTGTTCAGCTTATTCTGATGTTTTTCCATGTCTCGGTGCTGTTTGGTCAGTCTTGATCAAGTGCGAGATTTGACTTCGAGTAGGGTTTACCCTTGCAGCTCCACCGTGTCGTATAATACTGTACGATAGCACAAGGCTTTTCATACATTCTCATAATAAGTGATAAATGAAGGTTGATTTTGTTCTTGTAGTAAATACACCGAGTTACACAGCTGAACACCGGATAGTCCTTAAAGGCACAGCTTACGATAGAAATAATTCCCGATGTCACCCTCTAGGATGAATCTCTCGAACCATGTATGCCACATGGGCGCTGATTGAAAAGCGCCTTAGAGGGTGCAATGAGGACCCGTATACTGTCTCCGCTGTATGCCACACCCACAGGTGGCAGTGTTTCGATGGTGTTCAAGAGGCTGCACCATTCACAGTGATGGGGGG